CATGGCAAGCTGGAGGAATGAGTTAAGTGCTCTTTTTAGGTGGGGAAACTGAGGTTTAGGACCCAGGAAGAGCTGCTTCTACATCTTGGCTTTTTCACAGTGTGAGGTTTGTGGTCACCCCTGAGCCTCAGTTTCTTCTAAAATGGTGATGGCAGATACTCCCACGGGACTGCCGAGTGGAAGCCAAGCTCCTGTTGCATTGATTACCAATTAAATGGGGAGGTTCATAGTTATTAAGTTTCTCTAAGATTTTGTGGGGTCTGCTTGCCTGAAAGCTGGCAGGAAAACCCTTTCCCGAATTGCCCTCAGCCCCTAAAGGTCTTGAGGGAGGACAGGCTGTTCTGGGAGTGTGGGCTTTTGCCCCTGCCTGGGTGCTGAGGGGGCGCCCAGCCTGCCCTGCTGACTTTTTGCCCTCCCACTCAGGTTTCCTGCTTCTGGGTGGAGTAGGCAGGGGGTGAATTTGAGACGGATTAGCACCATTTTTGATATCCACGTCTACGTGGCTCACTGTCTCCTGACAATTGCTGAGGGTCCCTGTCACCATGAGGTCTCCACAAGTTCTGGTCAAACAGCAGAGCTTGATCACAGATGTCCAGGCTGAGCATGGCATGGTGTGTGTGTGTGTGTGTGTGTGTGTGTGTGTGTGGCAGGACTAGAGCTTTAGTCTCACCCTCCATTTCCTGGGGCAGGGTTGTACGTGTCTCCTTCATAAGGTTGGGGAGTCTCACTGGGAAAGGGTCAGTTCTTGTGGGTTTTTCTTTTGGCTGGACGGTGGGAGGGGCTGGCTGTCCAAATCCATGGAGTCCTCTCTGATATGGGCACTTGGATTTTCAAAGGCTTGTTCTCAAGGGTCCTGTATGCTATTGTGAGTTGTAAGTTGGTGGAGGGTTTGCTGGAAGGGAAGGGAAAAGTCTGGGACTTGAGGCCACAGATGCAAACATGCCGGAAAGGAGCTCTGAACCCTGTGCCATGGGCCTTCGCCTGTCCTGCACCTGCTGTGTGGTCTTGAGTAGGTGTCTCAACCTCAGCTGGTTGATTTGGAAGGACAGGAGGGTTGGTCTGAATGATCTGTAGATTTGGACACTGGTGCTGCCCTCTCTAACTGGGTTAGAGCTCTCCAGCTGCGCCAGGGGCTGGACCATGAGCTTTTTCCTTTCTATGGGTGATGAGTCCAGTGAGGAAGTGGAGCACATGGATTAGAACTGTTTCTGTTCCTGTCCTCATTGCGTGGCCCTTACCGTGGTGCAGCCCACAAGTTAGGTCCTTAATAAAGGCTTCCTGATTGAGCGAATTTAATAGTGTGACCCCGTGCTGTCCAGTAGAAATGTCACACAAGCCACATACTTAGTTCTACATTTTTTAGTAGCTATTCAGTTTAATGTGTGACTGATTTTCTATCTCATTGTCATAAAAAGGTAAAAAATGGTGAGATTAATTTTAGGAATATATTATAGTTAATCCTTGATATGCAAAGTGTTGTCGTTTCAATATATAATCACTATAAATGAATTATTCATGAGATACTTTACGTTCTCTTTTCACTGCAAGTCTTTGAGATCTGTTTGTGTGTTTTATACCCATGGCCCATCCTGGTTCGGACTAGCTATATTTCAGATGCTCAATAGCCTCATGTACCCAGTGGCTGCCATATTAAATAGCACACAAATATCTTCCAGGGCGAGAGATGGGCGTTTGTCTTAATCAGTTTGGGCTACTATAAGGAAGTACCATAGACTGGGTGGCTTATGAACAATAGAAAATTTTCTCATAGTTCTGGAGGCTGGAGGTCTGAGATGAGGGTGCCAGCATGGTTGGGTTCTGGTGAGGGCCATCTTTTGGGTTACAGAGTACAAACGTCTCGTTTTATCTTCATGTGGCAGAAAGAGAAGGAGCTACTCTCTGGCCTCTTCTTAGAAGGGCACTAATCTCATTCATGAGGGCCCCACCTCCCTGATCTAATTATGCCCTAAAAGTCCCACTTCCAAATGCCATCATGCTGGAAATTAGATTTCAAAATAGGATTTTTTTTTTTTTTTTTTTGTGGGGAGGAGGGAGAACACAACCATTCAGCCCCTAACAGTGTTCTTAGTTAAATGCTGTGTGACACTGTAAAGGATGTTTTCCCTCTTTGAGCCTCTGTTGTTTTTTTTTTTTTAAAGATTTTATTTATTTATCTGACAGAGAGAGAGAACAAGTAGGCAGAGAGACAGGCAGAGGGAGAGGGAGAAGCAGACTCCCCGCCGAGCAGGGAGCCCGATGTGGGACTCGATCCCAGGATCCTGGGATCATGACCTGAGCCGAAGGCAGCCGCTTAACCGACTGAGCCACCCAGGTGCCCAAGAGCCTGTTTTTCAGTGGATGTTTGGACCAGCTCATCTTTCAGGTTCTAACCTAGAACCTTTGAATGGTTTGCCTAGATCAAGAAATACACTATCATTAAGCTATAGGAATTAAAGACTGTGTAGTGTTGGTGCAGGGCTAGGCAAATTGGCCAGTGGAACAGAATAGAGAGGCCAGAAGCAGATTCATGTTTATAAAGACATTTGATTTTGAGAAAGGTGGTGTTGCTGATCAGCCAAGGCAACGATGGTCTATTGAATAAATGGTATTGAGACCATTGGTTATCCAGATGGAAACAGTGAAACTGGAGCCCTACCTCACACCATACAGAAAAAGCATTTCTGGATGGATTAAAAATTTTAAAAGTGAAATAAAAAAAGAATATAACTTGAAACTTTTAGAAAATAGAAAGGACTATCTTTTGGATTTCAGGGTAGGTAAAGATTTCTGAAGGCACAAAAAGTTAAAACCATTAAAGAAAAAATGGGTAAACCAGACCGCATTAAGAATTATGAATTTCTTTTCTTTTTTTTTTCTTTTTTAAGATTTTTTGTTTATTTGAGGGGTGCCTGGGTGGCTCAGTTGGTTAAGCTACTGCCTTCGGCTCAGGTCATGATCCTGGAGTCCCGGGATCGAGTCCCGCATCGGGCTCCCTGCTCGGCGGGGAGTCTGCTTCTCCCTCTGACCCTCTCTCTCTCTATCTCATTCTCTCTCTCAAATAAATAAAATCTTAAAAAAAAAAAAGATTTTTTGTTTATTTGATAGAGAGAGACACAGCGAGAGAGGGAACACAAGCAGGGGGGAGTGGGAGACGAAGAAGCAGGCTTCACACTGAGCAGGGAGCCCGATGCGGAGCTCGATCCCAGGACCCTGGGACCATGACCTGAGCCGAAGGCAGACGCTTAATGACTGAGCCACCCAGGTGCCCCAAGAATTATGAATTTCTATTCATCAAAAAAATGTCATGAAGAAAATAGAAGACAAGCTACGAACTGGAAGGACATATCTGCAGCACATTTACCCACCAAAATAATTAACATCCAGGATATATAAACAACTACAATAAGAAAAAGACAGATAAGAGAATAGAAAGTGTAAAAATACAAATCGTTTTGCAGATGAACACAGAGAGAAGAGAACACAAATGAACAGTGAACACATGAAAAGCTGTTCATGTTCATTGGGTGTCTACCCTGGAGAATATTGTGCACATGTGCATCATTGGAAAGGGACAAGAATTTTCTCAGCAGCATTGTTTGTGATAAGCTAGACCTGGAGACATCCCAAACGTCATTGCTACAGTGTTGTATATTCATATAATGGGATAAGACCGTGCAAGGCGAGCGACCTCCACTTTCAGGCAACAGTATGGATCAATCTTATAGACGTGTTGAGTGATAGCCAAACACAAAGGAAAGTATGAATCCAATCATTCAATGCTCAAAAACAGGCAAACCAACTGTTGTTTAGGAATGCAGAAGAAAGTATGTGGAAAGCTAGAACATGATGATTGTTGCAAAATCAGCTCCCTGGCTACCTCTAAGGGAGGCGGTGGGGATACACAGGGTGCTTCTGGGTCTTGGCAGTGTTCTAATTCTTGACTTGGGAAGAAAACCAAGCTGGATTTTCCATGCCCTACAAGACAGCTCCCAATCCCCAGGGGTAGACTTACCCACATGGCCACACCTCCCTACAAGGGAGGCTGGGAAGTGTCCTCCCACCGTCTGTGCCCATTGCTGCCTCCCTGGGGCCCAGAACAGCACCTGTCATCTGAGTAGGTACCAGTCAGATCTGGTGAATGACTGGTGGCTGTGTGACTTTGAGCAAGCGAATTAACCTCTGAAGACATTGGTCTGCGCTCTTGCTTTAATCTGACTTTAAATGGGGTCTTTATAAAGCAGCGTTATGGTTATACCTGCAGCCTATGCTCCTTGGACAACATTTTTAAAATCCCGGGAAGTAGGTATAAAAATGAAAGCGACGGTCCCCCTGCAACCCGCCATCTCGAGATCTTCACTGTGAAACGTGCTGTTTGCTTCCAGTGCTTTCTCTGTGGAAACGCTACAGTTAGCATGGCTTGTCTTTTAAAAAATTTGACCTGCGGCAAGGCTGTCTCCCTTGTCTTTAACCATTATTCACAACCTGAGTTTAATGTGTGCCTCATTTTCCATCTCATCATCGAACCCTGCTTTATTTTATTACTTCCCATTTTTAGACGCTTCTCTTGCTTCCTGAAACCCACTTCTGCTGGGGGACATCTCTGCAGGAGAATTCAGGAGAATTCTCTGTGTGGACGCATATCTGATCCATTGTCGATCCTGGGCATTAGCCACGTCCTGTGGGTCACAAGTTCCCTCTGATGCCCAGTTTATAAGGACCAGGTCTTGGG